TAACAACACTTATTTTAGTCCATACACTACTCTCTTTTTTTTCGCCATAACTGATTGCAATAGAACCTCACCAGTTTTCATACCTAAATGCACAAGTTTCAACAGTTCGTACAATGTGGCCTCGAACCATTCCTTCGTTAGCTCAGAGCAACATTTTATTATGCCCTACAAAAACAAGAAAGCCATATAATAAAAACATGTATTTTTAGATGATAAGCATATGTTACATGAACATAAACTCAAGGACTGAGGCTCCGTCAAACTCCAAACTGAAGTCTACCGACACTGTGTCTGTTTTTGAGTAGTCATAATGCGAACCAATAAAAATGTAGGGGCCTACGTCTCCAGTATTAGGCAGCTTTTTTTTGCTTCTCATACTTTGACTGAATGGCTGGCTTTTGACAAAAATTTGTCATCATACATTAATATTCATGAGTAGAAACGAGGAAGAACAGTTTACATCAAAGACAAATGGACAATAATTTCACCCCTCTCATTTCCAACTAAAGCCAGCCATTCAGTCAAAGTATGAGAAGCAGAAAAAAGCTGCTTAATATTGGAGACGTGATCTACTTTTTGGGGGGTTCACATTATGACTACTCAAAACAGAAACAGTGTCGGTAGACTTCAATTTGGAGTTTGACGGAGCCTCAGTCCTTGGAGTTCATGTAACATATGCTTATTATCTATAAAAAAAAAATAAAAAAAATAAAAATACATGTTTTTATTATATGGCTTATATGCTCTGAGCTAACGAAGGAATGGTTCGTGGCTACATTGTACGAACTGTTGAAACTGCTGGATGTTGGTATGAAAACTAGTGAGGTACTATTGCAATCAGTTATGGCGAAAAAAAGAGAAGTGTATGGACTAAAATAAGTCTTGTTATTTCGCCCCCCCCCCCCTCCCTGGCCATGCATGGGCGTCGCCAGGTTTTTTTTTCGAGCGGGGGGCAAAGCAAATTGTTCCCCAAAATCCTTGTACTTTCTCTAGCATATTCTCAAATGATAATTTTGTTTAGGGTGGGCGGGGGACATTTGCCCACCCCACTCCCTCTGATGACACCCCTGCAGACGCCCATTTTGCTGAATGTGTATCAAATGAATAGCAAATATGACTTCACACCTCTGTTCCCTTTTTTTTCTTTCAAAAGGGGCAGGAGGCGCATACTGCGCGGTGTGAGATTAGTGTATACATTTTAAGCGAGGCAGGAGGCACACGCCGCGCAATGTTTAGAATTCTGAAAGAAAAGAATTTGGAAGAAACCTCTTTCATGCAAGACGTTTTTGCAGAAACACAGTCTCCTCAGATTTACTTTAACTGGTAAAAACAATTATCAAGAATGTTATGGGTTATTTCGTTTTAATTTTTTTTTGTTTAATTCTTTGTAGCTGTCGTTGCCTGTAAATTGAAACACTTAGTTTATGTACATAGTATATAAACCTATGCACTGGGTCCAAAACTAACAGACAATCAGTGACTCACTCAGTCAGTTAGTGACTCAGTCAGTCAAGCATATCCTGCCAAATATTCTTGCCATTCTGACAGAATTCAAAGAGTGTTTTAAATTCTGGGATTTGCCCAACTTGACAAGAAAGTTGTCCGTCCCGACAACGGCAAAATTGGCATCTACAATCTTGTTTTGAATAGAATGAAGACTGAAACTTAAACAAGGAGGGCTTGACATTTTTGGTCCCTACTAAAAAAACAATTCCAAGACTAAAATACATATTCTGCTAAAACTGAATGATGACCTTACAGACATTTCCGAACGAAGTAGGCATTTTATCGGTCAGAGAGAAACAGGGTCAAGTCCGCCAATTTTTTTTTTAGAACTCTGCGCGTGAACCTTGAAAGCATAAACAAAATTCAATCCACGAGCAAATAAAAACATCCAAACCAAATATAGATACCACGTACAACAAGAAATTGAATGGAGCGGAATCTGAACCTGTTACCTCCGGAGCGACGTAACGGCGCTCTACCAACTGAGCTAACTGCCCATGCATGCAGGCCTGTTGACGGTCTATCCGTACATGTACAGTGCTCGGTTTCCTTTCGTAGCTTATTTTATGAAGGAAAAAAATCACTATCGATCAATTTGATCTGAGTGGCCGGTATAGACACAAAATCGAATATGACGAATACATATAGCTCTGTCTACGCCCACACCTAATGCAAAATATCGGATATGCTAAACGTCAGGAACGATTAAAAAAAGACGATTATTTTGCTGCCGATAACGCATGTTGATAAGCAGTATTCAGTACGTGATATTCTTAGGTTTGAAAGACTGACGATATGATCAGCGTGAATGAGCCATTCAAAAGGTGAAAAGTGGTCTTTAGACCTTCGAAAAGTGCAATTTATTTTAAAACGGTGGTTGGATACGTCCTTTCGTATAAAGTTACATTTTAACAAGCTATTTTTTACTACTAACGTATATTTTACAAAGTAAACAATCTGTATTTGGTCGTCGCTGTAAAAAGTCAGAGAATCCGTACAGGATGAAACAGGAGTGCTTAAAAATTAAATTAGAGTTACTGTGAATTTAGAACTTTACTTGCATTAATGGTAGAACATTATTTTGATACTATAAAAACAATATTCAAACTTTCGAACATTGGATTTTATGGCAACAAGGAAAAGATACCTGTTGTGTATATATAAAAAATAATACAGATTAATTCAGCAAAATTTGGTAGATTATAATCGTATCTCGAGTTTAAGTTATGCTGATTTTTAATAAACCAATGCATTCGTATCACTCTTCATTAACAAAGTACTTGTATTAGATGGAGCTGGCTGATCAAATATCTTACATATCAAAATAGCTTGAAATATTAAAATAAAAGCGTTGTTGGGAAATTATTCAGACTGTTTTGTTATACGTCCTTGTAAAAATGCAAGCATGTGATTGTTTACTCATAATTTCAGTGGGAAATTGATTGCCAGTTCGTTATTAAGTTAAACATGAAAAAAGGTTCATCAGCTAGCTGCCACCGTCACGTATGACTACGCCTGGGTACCCGAAGTTATCCGGGCAAAAAAAATTGCAACCTCCATGTTTATTTTCAGAATTATGTAGAGGAATTCCCGAATCAAAGCGAATCCTTTGCCATCCGATACTTCGCGTCACCGTGCACTGCAATTTCCATTTCCAAGCAAACAATCTCGTTGATGATTAATGCCGACAAGCCGTTTAACCAGCGCCGAAAGGCGCTTCAAAATCACCGCATAAAAATCGCCCGAGTTCGAGAGGGGACGCACACAAAACACGGCGTAATTTGAAAGTGAAATCCCCCAATATTACAAGCTCTGTAAGTATCAAACCTGCTCGTATAATAACCGCTATGACGTCATAATGATTCCAAATTCCTTTTCCCCAATAACGACACCGCTGAGAGCCGAAGTAAAATCGCGATAAGGTGACTGCACTGACAAAGGAACATATGGTAGGGGCGCCTTAACATTTTTATTTTATTTATTTTTTGCCCGATCTATTAATATTTAATTGAAATCGGCGAATTTGTATATTCAGACCAGAAGGAATTCAATACCAACAAAAGACAACCGCATCTCATTTAGCGCCTGAATTCCTTGACGTAAATTTAAAAAAAATTCTTATGATGAAATCTGCCACATTAGTATTTTCCATGATAAAGCACCTACGATTTGATAGCAACTGCGTCCAATGGCGTCAGGGTCTTGATATTTGGTTTGCGAACCCCTAAAGTGTCTACTAAAAATTAGCCGTTATTTAATTAAAACCACATGTCCCCATGATTCCGACCCTCGAGAAATATGCCGCTGATTTAACGAACTGGCGTCTTGTTTTTGTTCAGTTGACAAAAGCAAGAGATGTTTCCGTCAATGTGTGGACACACAACTCCAGAAGGCTCCATGTGTGTGCAAAGAAGCGTGGTGCTTTACCGGTACGTGATCGTCCTGTTTGCATTGCACACAGCCCCAAAAAAACATCAGAAACCAAATTTTAATCAGAAATTGAGAAAAGGAGGAGGGGAATTGAATAAAAGTGGAATTTCGTTCCAGACAGAGAATATGATGGATTGTATTGGCACAATCCATTTTATCTTTTAATAATCTTTTCACGCATCGATCAGTCTCACAGTTAACCATGACCTGTAATTTTGTTTTATGGCAATGGTTAATTAATGGTTGCATTGAGAAAACTCACAATAACTTCCCATAAATCAAGTTCACATGAAAAAAAAAAAAAATTTCTTAAATTTTTCTGTATTGGCAACATATATAGTATTAATTGCATTTTGTGGTCAGAAATTGTGAATTCTAGTGAAAACAAGCCACATTGTAGAACGCAGCTCATGAAAAATTACCTATTAAAGAGATTCAACTGCAATGACCGGTTGAAGTCGGCATAAATCTTTGATGTGTTTCTGGTGATTTTAATTTCATAGCAAGTAATGCACAAGAGGTCCACTCATGAATATTCATGTGGAACAAAAGCACACACCTCAAATATGGCCGCCATGCACGAGGTCAATCAACCCTCCTGCTATTTAAACCGTCACAGACAGTCAAAATTTCCATCCACTTCCTCTGCTATACTTTTAACACCGGCTAGTCACCAGCAGTCAGATCATATGTCAAGCAAACACTGTGACTAGTCAAACTCAGTCAACAGACCATGAACAGACAAAGCAGGCAAGTTGTGGGCACAGCTGGCTTATCAATTACCCACAGTCAAAGCAAAGCTGTATCAAGTGACATAAACAGTCACAGCCAGTCAATCCTGCTTTGTGTAGGCTGGGAGCTTTTAAATGTTGAAAACAGTCACTGGATTGATTTTGACTGCAAGGACAACTTGGCACAGAATGTATGTTTGCATAGGAGGGTTTAGCAACATTCAATACAGTTTGCAAGTAGGATAAAACCTACATAAACAAAGAAAACAACTGGTTCTTCTCAGAACCACACAACTCAAAAGAGATAATATTCACATGGTGTTACCGCAAACCTTCCATACTCTGTCCATGTCCACCATGCAAACCTACAAGTCTCATTTAATTGAATCTTGATCAAAAAATATGTCAACGGTACATGTAATTCCTATTCCATTATACAAAATAGTTCCATACAAGGAGGGGGTCATTTTGGAAGCGTGGCAATTTTAAGTTTTAAAATTGATACTGAACATGTCCCATCCTTTCCTTCTGTACTCTCGGATGTCTTTGACTGAAAATATACCAAAATGACTCTGACACATTTTTTTCCCCTGAGAGCAATGGTAATTCAGCAAAAAAACTTTATTACACACATTTATTACTTCCCTCTTCCCCCTAAAAAACCACAAGAGTAGATGAGTAATTAAACCTTCTCTCTCCCCAACAAAAGTAAAACACAATGTGACCTGATGAACAAAAATTCCATCCAGTCTACTTGCATGATGCTCAAAAAGCGTCCTCAGTTTCCTCAACTTTTACGGCTGAGAAAAATGCCAGGTGGGGGTAATTCCAAGCAAGCCCCCTTGACAACTCTTTGTTTTATGCATTCCGCCATAAAATGGCACGTGCAAAGTGCTCCTGCAGCTTAAAACGCTGATTGAATCTTTTTTTTTGGTGGTAATAATTAGCAATCCGTTATACAGCCGCTGCCTTAATGGAGTTTACTTGTAAACAAACCAGACAGACTCTCAAAATCACTTGAAATCGGTGGCTGGGATTTTTCAAGCAAGCTTTGAAAATGCTTGAAAAGGGCAAGTCTGCATGAATAAACAACTAACTTGCTTGTTGGTGCACACTTCACAATAAAAGCATTTCTGTGTAAAACTGAACAAAAATATTGGAACAGTATTTTCTCCTAAAATTAACTGATATTTAAATGTTGAGTATTTCAGAATATTTCATCCAAAAAGGAGAAATCGGGCCCCCTGTTTGTTTTCATCCCCTCTTTTTTCTGCCTCTCCGAAGACTCACCTACAGAGGCAGTGGTAGATTCCTTGGGTGCTATAGATGCTGCAGTGAAGCCTGCTGTCTCTGGCACACTGGTTACAGTATCGGGGACATAACACTCTGGCCAGAGGGAGGGACTTTTCGCAGATTTCCGACTCTTCTTCGAAACCCTTAAATTTTGTGGAGAAAAAAAACAAATGTTCTGAGTTTTTGATTACATCCATAGTCCAACTTCTAATTGGATCTTTAATCCCCACGTGCGTACACGAGCTGATTTATTACATAGCCTGGCTCACTGTAAACAACAGAGGGTGCTATTCTTGTCAGAAATGACACTGCTATCTTTTCAATACTTAAATTGCTGTGCACACTCAATCTGGGGACACAAATTTGCAAGCACAGACCTGCCAAAGTCAATATTGACTGATACTCATCCAATTGCTAGATTCCTAGCTCAATGTTATCGTCTCAATTGCATTCACGGATTCATTTACGAGTGAAATCAAACAAAGTGTCAAACAAGCACATTCTAAAAATCAAATTTGCACAAGATTTGGGGGATTTTTTCCCCCACTGTCGGCTTGAATATCCTGTATAATATGCCTTTTGGCGAGAGCAAATTTCTCCATCAGTGCTGATGATGTGACATAACCTAATTCCGCAGGTGTTTGCCAACACTTTACCTCCAGCCATTAAGCGAAACTGGATACGTCGACTCGACAGACTGCGCATCCAAATTGGCCGGCGAGAAAAAAACAAAAAGTCAATATTTCCGACTGACTTGCACGCCAATCTGGTGCAATCTTTAAACTGTAATTTGATATGTGCGTCATGAGACTTCTGCCAAAAAAGTGACGCAAAAAAATATATACATTTTTTTTCAAATTGCATTTTGCCCGACGCAAGAAGATAAAATTCGTCGCCAGCACCTTACACTTTTTATCTTATCTTTTAGTTGCTGTGCGCTGCACCGAGAAACTATTTTTTTGCAAATCAGGTCAAGTTAATTATCAAAATCCAATTCGTGTTCAGATGGCAATCAAAATTTTCTGACTTGAATCAAACTTTTACATATTTTTGTTGAATAATGACACATTTTCATTGTTGGATTTTTTCAAATCAAATACAAATTTTGGGATACAAAGCAATCCAATTTAAAATTTAATAATAAATATCATATAGATCCAGCCATCCAGTGTTAAATTAACTGAAATTTTAAAAATAGAAAAAAAAACAGGCTTTTCAAAAGGGCCTTCCAACTGATGTGACTCGACGGAGGACCTGATTTATTGACCAAGAAAGAGTCCTTTTCAAAGGTTAATTTACGGAAGGTATATCAACTAATGCCCCCTGATTATACGGGTTTTGTGTAACAAGTGACCTAGGGTCAGGATTTACCCATGTGTAAACAGTTCATGCTTTGATCAAGGGTATAAATTACCCACAATGCATTGCATATCCTTCACAATGTTGTGGAAGACATTAGCGGTTACCAGTGTATTTGGAGAGTGTGCTTGGTACCGGTTATTAAGCCTTACTTTGTCTTTCTTGGGGGTGGTTTCATGGCCGGTGACTCAACCATGAAAATGTCGTCTAAGAGGTTAGCTGCCCTTCCCTCAAAGTTCATGTCAATTTCATTGGCCGATTCCGCTGATGTGGAGTCCTCTGATTGGTCGCCTGCATTGGAAGCATCTTCGGTTGTCGTCCTTGGTTCTTGGGTTTCTTGAGATGGTGAGGAATCTTTCAGGTCTGTCTGGCTAGAATCACCCAAACGCTCATTCTGAGAAGAAAAGAAAATAAGTACATGTATAAACTACTACACTAACATGCCGATTTTAAAATGTTGGCTCGACACGGCCATTTCTCTTCTAAAAAGGCATTGCACCAGAAAATCAATATGTCTTTGCAAAACAAAATATACAGATTGAAAATCTGTTAGGAGAAAAAAAATCTATTTTTGTTTGAAGAGTATGGGGCAAGCCTCTTTAAGACTTCAGCTTGGCAGAGGCCGACAGCATTCAAATTTGAAATGGAAGCAAGTTTCTGACCCATGCCAAACAAGTTGGCTGTTTGTCCGTCCCTCTCTCTAGCTGTCTGTCTTACCTCCTGTAGTATCAGCAATGCCGTCTCATACAGCTCGGCTGGACTCAAGCAGTACACGGTGCTGGGCAGAGGAGGAACCTCGCTTTTCTTCTTCCTGAATGAAATCACATGGATCTCATTTGTGAACTTTTTTTATCCAAAGTCTGTATTTAACATTTATATTTCCCCCTTAAATATTTAGCCTATAACCTAAACTTACAAACCATGTGTTGGATGAAATGTTTGACAATAAAAGGCTTTGCTCACAGAAGAGTACCAAAAATTAACCCTTTTTAAACAAAAAATTATATTTGGATATATCAATGTTTAGTACTCCTATTTGAGGAAAATTAAGGGTATAAAGCAGTTTTTGAATCAGTTGGATGGGCAATTCCAACGTAATGAAAGGAAATGTAATGTCCATGACAAAGACGATTAAACCATGATCAATGATTCAGAGAAATGATCCAAAACTCCTAGGGCTGTGCATCGGAACCGGGTACCCGAGTACCCGACCGCTGATGTCAGGAACCGGTTCCAGATTATGTGATCGGGTACCCATAACCAACTTTACACATTACTTAGTAACTTCTCGGACAATGAAAAAGAAAGGTTTTGAATGTCATTGGTGGAGGATTTCAAAAATAAAAACTAGGCTACATGGGAAAACAAAACATATTTCACGTTTATGACGCTCGTGAAAGTTTCAGTTTACACCATACTGCTATAAGAGCTCACTGTATGCACTTGTATCTTGCTGCATTGATACACCAATGTGATACCCGTGGTTTTTTCAATCGGGTAACCCGGTTCCCGTACAACACGGAAAATGCACACCCCTATAACTTCCTAGCCTGTACTTACTAGATAATGGATGTACAAGATTTTTTTAAAAAAATACATTTTTCAGGTTTACTCCCTGAGCTCTTAAAAGCTCTGTCATTTATGCTGGAGTTGCTCAGATAGAACTGACAGTAACATACGTATCAATGAGAAATGACCTCTCCAAAAAAATCTGCCTCTGATTTTTACCTCTGTGGCTCCTCGAGACTACTATCCTCCAGCGATTCAACGCCCATCAAGCGATCAACTTTCTTGGTCTTCTTGAGGCTCTGGGACAGCATCCATGAAGGGGGCTCTCGTGTGGTCTGCTGAGTCCCAGATTTAGGTGCTGCTTGGGTGTTTGTGACCGCAGAGTCAGCACTATAAAGTTGACAAATCAAACAACTGTTGAATATTTTGTTTAATAACATTAACAAATGTTTCACACTGACAAAATGTTTAATATATAAGGCGCAGCATTGTAGTCAAGGTCGTAGTCCAGTCACAAGTAAATCATAATTCAGTCGTAAGTCCAGTCACAGCTTAACAAGGGATGAGCAATAACAACTGGACGTCAGTGTCACAGTTTGATTGAACAGCTTGTGAGTTGATCTGGGACTGGATGACTTGTGACTGACTTGTATTTGACTTTATATTGTGACTTAATTGTGACTTAATTGTGATGGACTTGTGATGGACTTGTGATTGACTTGTGATGACTTGTGATTGACTTGCGATTGACTTGTGACTGATATGTGACTGACTTGTGACCGACTTGTGACCGACTTGTGACCGACTTGTGACTAACTTGCGACTGACTTGTGATTGACTTGTGATTGAATTGTGACTAACTTGTGGTTGACATGTGACTGACTTATGATCGACTTGTGATTGACTTGTGATAGACTTGTCAATGATTTGTGACTGACTAGTGACTAACTTGTGATTGACTAACTTGTGATTGACATGTTGTAATTACCTTAACTACAACATGCATGCGGAGATTGGTCATGTGTGAACGGACTGTATCCTACACAGGAACGCTCAGTGTGGCGCCCTCTGCTGTTTTGAGAAGGAGTTCATGGTCACGGAGGCCCCCTTGTGCGTTGTGCTAGCTTTGGTTCAGATAATCCGTCATGGGGCAGTTCCTTTGTACAATAGCTGGCACGGTGTTAGGCCATAGAAGGGGGCTCAGCGAGGTTTGTATAGAGAACTTTTAAAATTACGTTGGTGAAAAAACAAATCTTGTGTCAAACATTGCACTGCCACATACTGAAAAAGAAAACCAAATACAATCCAATGGCTTGACTGCTTACTGGTTTGCGATTTGTCCTTGTCCATCTGTGGCTTGGCTGTCTGGAATACGGGTAACCATTCTGGATCCTGGGTCTGTGATGCGAGTGGCTGTTTCTACATACAGCTCCTGATACCTAATTGGGAAAAAAATATTAGAATACGTAATGTATCTTTTCTCAAAACAGACACAATTTCTCCGTATCAAGGGTTCAGTGGGGGAGGGGGCAGGGGACTGGGGGAGGGGTGGGGGGACTGGGGGAGGGGTGGGGGGGGGGGACTGGGGGAGGGGTTGGGGGATTGGGGATTGATACGCATGAAGATGAGTTGGTTCCTGGAATTCCAAAGGGACAACTTGTCACCTTCCACACTTCCTTTCTGAAAACATTTTTCAAGCACTTCTTAAAGTGTAGTTTTAACGTTCCCAAACTTTAATCAATATTTCCCAAATATTGTTTTATGGTTGTCAAACATTAGTAACCTGATAAAAATAATAATTTCAGCTGTCAACCAAATTTTAAGGAGTGTTAATAAAGTTGGATCATATTAATTTTACTTGTCGAGAGTCTCCCTGTCTTTGTAGCAGATTCCAAGAGTGCGTCCACAAATGGATTCTCGGAAAAAGCAACCGTCGTCCCCTGATGCAACAGTCTCTGAATACAGAGGAATCCTGGGAGTTGACCTCAGCTGACCCGACCCAGATGGACCAATCAGTTTAATGTCTTTCAAGATGGAATTGACGTCATCCCTGGAAGAGCATTGGCTCTGATAGACCAAGCGAGGGCTCTTCAGGGCCGCGGCCGCTTTGAGGCACTTCACCCCGGCCGCTTGCGCGCAGTCCGCATGATCTTTGGTGCGGTGGAGGTACAACGATCCACGATGCCATAAGTGGATGTGGTGAAAGCGCTGTAGGAATGCTAGGAGGCCAGGTTGAGGGGGCGTGGCAAAGGAGGAGGAGGAGGAGTTAGGGTCAGGGAGGAGGGTGGAATAGATCGGGCATGGTACAGACTGACAGAGTTCCATAAGGCTCTGCTTCATGTCCATGACAATCTCTTTGCTAGACATCCTTGATGTTGAATCTGCAGGGACAAAAATTAATTACATCGAAGAATCGATCAAAGAAAATTGATTGATTGACTAATATACAACCTCTACAGTATCATACCAATGGTCTAAATGCATGCTTATGATCTCACAATTTGTCTATATTTTTTTTTATAATTTTGAATATCTCAATGCAATTTCTTCTCAGATTCACAAGTCATTTGCAAGTCAATAACGAGTCAAGATTTTAAAACCGTGGCAAAAGCATTCTTTTGTCAAATTTCTTTTCCTTTTACTTGGGAACAAACTTGTAGTTGGGCTTTTGACTGACTTGTCATGAGCTTGTGATATGACTTATGATTGACTTATGACATGACTTATGATTGACTTATGACATGACTTATGATTGACTTGTGATTGGCTTAAGATTGGCCTGTAAACTTCAATTTTTTTGCTCACAGGCAATCAAACTTAGTAACGTACATATGAATGAAATGATGAATATTTTAAAGAACTTCACCCATTACCATCAGAGTGTGATCTGCCGGAGATAATGATGATGCGCCCCCAAGGGTTACACGATGTCCAGGTTTGTAGGACTTCCCTGGTCCCCTCCATGCATTGGTTGGTCCTGGCATCATTAGGCTGAACGATACCTTCCCACTGTATGAAGAGTGCTGGCACTTCAAACTAAAAAAATTAATTCAATTCACTTACAGTGTTCGAAAATGCTGGAAAAACCAAGAAAAACAAAAATGTTCGAGTAGTCTGGTTCCCTGACTCCACTGAAGCTGAAATGGATCAATTTATAGATACCGGAAAATTGTAAGGTAAGGGAACTAGTCTAGCCGGCCTGCACCCGTTCATGAACATGTAACCAATAGCAAACAAAACTTGGACTGAAAAAACATGGTAAATTTGGAGCAGTAGTTGAAAATAGTTAGGTTTTTCCAACGGTGGTCAGCCGACCACCGTTGGAAATGTATACAAAAATACCATTTTCTTGAAAATGACTTCACACCAGGTGCCATAATTTTACAGGATGCTTTAGTCTGTCATTTACCAACATCCTAGTAAGGTATTTTGTAAAAACTTAGTAGTTTTATTTTTCGATGTTTGCAAATGTTGTATTTTTAAGCCTATATTCTACCAACATTTTTGAATCACCTTATAATCAACCTCAGCAGTCAATCTAACTCGTACGTCTTGTAGATTTAGACCTCCTTGTGCGGTAGGAAATTCAGGCCTTTTTCCTGCAACGTCCTCCCCGAGCCACTGTGATATCCTTGCTTCACGCTGAGCCAAATCGTTCAAAGATGTCTCGTCCAGATTCAGCAGACTTTTAGCCAAAGACCATTGATGCATCCAGCGGAGGGACAGTGGCCCATCGGAGTTGAACTTGATGCAACGGAATTTGCAGTTAGGAACCTGAGAGACAAAACGTTGAATTATTCTTTCTGATTGATTATGTAAACAAGAATACTTGATTTTTCAGCCAAAATGTGTCAATTGTTCCCCCATCCCCCACTTTCGATGTCATATGTCGGGGTTTTGGTAACTTTTTCAAGCCCCATGGTATAGGGGCGTTTGGTCACTTACAAATTTTGTTTGACAATGCGTGTTGGAGATCGTCACTGAAGTTTGCCCCACAGTTGGGGGTTGTTCAGTTAAAAAAAAGACATCCCTCACACCTTGGGTGGGGCAACCGGGGGGGGGGGGGGGGGGGGGTAATCAATAGATGCATAATTTAGGCCTACGTACCTTGGATGATATTGATGTGACGTACGATTGTCGTGTGCTCCTTGACCAGTTCTCATCATCAATGACAACGCTCTTCCCTTGTTTCAGCAGTGCCACGATCTTCAAGATGACCTGACGTAGTCCGAGAGTAGGATCTTCTTTGAACTGATCGATGGCGGATATTCTCTCATGACTTGTACTTAGGTGGTGCTTGCAGTATGCTGTTTTCCCCTGAAAAAAAAAAGTTCACCATATCTGGTTAGGAATCAAGGGCTAATCTAACTATAATTCCAGGAATCTCTGTCTGTCTGTCTGTCCGTCGATTATCTCCAGAACCGGGCACCGTATGAAATTGAAAATCGGCGGGTATATTTTTCGGGACAACAGAATGTGCAGTGCAAAGTTTGAAGTTGTTTGGACCAGCGGTTCTCGAAAAAGCTGCAAAAAGCAGTATTTTCTGAGGCAAACGTGGCAGTATATAGCTTAGAACATAACACCCGCACGCACTGCCGTTCTTTTTAATTGTTTACGTCATGTTAAAGCTAAAGCGCACGTGCTCAATATGACGCAAACAATGCAAAAAGGACGGACACGCGCACGTGCATTGCAGGGCGATACAATGTCCAGTGTGGGTTAATACTAATGGATCAATGGGTGAATAGCACTGCATACCATGTTTCCGTATGTACACGGGCACATTATTTTTGCAGTCGACTGAGCGACCATTGTAGGTGGTTGAACTTCAAACTTGGCAAAAAATTTGACGTAAGTGTGCGTTCAACCTGTGAAAACAACACCATTGAATCGCGTGCGTTGTTTGCACGAGCAGTTCTCCAAAACTCTGCAAGTATGCAACCTATACCAGCGGCAAAGCAATTTGCGTTTCCCGAACATGCACATTTTAGACGGGCACTGCACTAGTTTCTCAAATAACAGAAAAATTCTGCTACAGGTGGGCATGGACATATGGGAGCTTCTTACAGTCTAGTTCCCAGACCTATTTACTTAAAACTGATTGGCTCTTGCGTCTGGAGTGTTAAATGGTAAATCATCGCAACTGATGAAAACTGGTGTTTGTGCAAATGTTTTCATCGGCCGAGGAATTTCCGCAAACACCTATGGTTCAAAGAAGACAGTTCAATCACCAGGTGTGTCGGAACATAGAGGCGCGTAGCCTCATGAAACGATTGAGAATATTTCTATTCCCTGGCCTGGATGGGATGCTAGTCCATCGCAGGTTACTCCCCAGCTAATGCCGGTACTTGTCATGTTTGTGCTCCTGGGTGGAAGAGGGAAGGACAAGGACACAACATTTGGACAGCGGCTGGATTCGAACCCATGACCCTCTCTCTGATCAGGAGTCACGAACCCTAACCACCATGAATACTAGGCCACACTCCCCCACCATTGTAAGCTTATGTTGAGTTAGCCCAGGTTGGACTCCGTTGTGTACACGCAATGCAATGAAGACGTTGTCTAACCTGGGCCCAGGCTAATGTTAAGTTAATATAAATAAAATATTAAAATTCGTCTCAAATGTAAGAAATATTTGTAGGCTAATTATACTGTTATTAACTTTATAAATTGGTTGATCTTAATTCATCTTTTCCTTTCCCTATTTCACTCTTTTCACCCCCCCCCCCCCTCCCAATTCCCAGCCCCTACACCCTTCCCCCCCCCCCCAAAAAAAATCCATCAAAGAAACTTTGACTTGAGTTAGAAAGACTCCAAAAAGCATGAAAAGAAGATTTTGTAAACAAAAAACAAGCCTACAGCAAAAGGAGGTCCAAACAGCATCACAACTTCCACGGGCTTCGCCATTAGCCGGTCGTTTTTCATGTCCAAGTTTTTCTAGTCATGTCGATTTTCGTATTTAAGTTATTTCCCCAACAAGCGATAGTGCCACATTCAAATTATTCCCTCTCCTTCACAGTCACACACGTGTTCCCCATGTTGTTTATCAACCTGTCAAAAACTGTAAACAAAATAGCCGCCTGATCCCCGCCGATACACAGTGCAGTATTCAGCGCCTGGTGTGGCGGTTCAGCTACCAGACTACATTCAAACGACCTTGCAATTAAAAGTGGGTGTTGCAAATAATATTGGCCGGTGTGTATATGGTGCCATCATTACGCAGAGCGCCACCTCTTGAATGTTTAGCGCTGAACATTTTGAGAGTTTTCGCGTCCGTGTCATTTTCTTCTAACAATTTTGCATGTTCAAGAAATGTCTTTCGAATATTTTAGAACATTAAAGGAAGTGTAGTTGCCTAATTCATAACAAATATTAAAATTTGAGTAATCCAGCTCACAGTTTATAAAATTCCTCTCAAGTTAAAAAAAAATTGTGAAGATCACTGTTCACATTCATTTAATAGCGGCACATTTTGTGAATTCTAAAAAGTGATATAATTGGGCAATGCAATTTTATAAAGACAGCTGTCATGGCTGTGGCGTTCGAGGACACAATCTGTTTAGAGAAAGGAGGGGGCTGATTTTTTTGGGAACTTTGCAAATTTTTAGGGATTTCTTTATATCCAAGCTCAAACCAAATACATGTAGTTGTTTTTTTTATAATTCAAGTAAGGGTCTGAAAATATTTTTTTCTAACTTTTAAGAGTTACCTTCTTTAAGTCCTGCTAATTTGTTATTATGTCTGTGCATTTCAAGTTCAAGCTGCGATACGTTTTCCCATTTTGTCCCCCCAAAAAAGTTATGTGAGATCTTAAGTTTTCCCAAAAATCTAGTACTGAAACTCCGACGAACGGTTATTTACTCATTGTGGACAATATAATCTGCAACACCCATTTCAGTGTAAGATTTTCGCGTCTGTACGTTCCCCTTTGCTTTGTTCTGTTCAACTGCTGAAAGATTTTGACGGTTGTCGAGACGTGAGTTTTTCATCAAATTCCTCCTATTTTTCACGTTTAATTGGCATATTTTGAGTACCTGAGACGATTACAGAAGTGCTTGATTTTTACTGGTATTTTTTTAGTCATATACATAGTTTTTTTTATCGGTATTTTAGAGGATGTTTTTTACTTATTTTTTTTTATTCGCGCTATTTTGCACTGGGACTGGGCAAAGACATGGGAATTTTATGCAGTGCATGAAGATTCATGTCAGTCTGCATTTGTAGCGTAACATGATTGCGATGAGTGCTTACATTTCTCAGATTTTTTTTTGCAATTTTTGTTTCATTTGTTTTGCGATTATTATTTTTATTGTCAATATTTTATAATCGTATTTAAATGTGATTATTTTGTGTACTGCCGTTTTTTAGGGTGGAAAGTCAAGATTGAACTAAAAAGTAAAAGAGCCCCCCCAAAAAATAATCTCAAACTCTAGACCTCAGCCAAAAGTTGGACTTGTTCCTAAATATTTTTTTAAGTCTTTGCATTTTGCCTCTGCACTCCAAATAAAATGTGGTCATGGTGGTGTAGTAAATTATGAATTAACTTGGAGGAATGTAACCAGCGTAACTTCTTTTATTTTAAATTTTTTTAAGACATTAGGGGCCTCCTGGCAATAAAATATTTTTTCAAAAGAATATTTCTTACAAATATTTTTTTCAAAAGAATGTTTTCTATCTCACTTGTGCTTAATGAAAATGAAATAAAAATTATCTTTCTACATCAAGTAAACTGCTAATGCTATGGGATAAATACATGTGCATGTTATGCATGACTGTATGAAATGGTATTCTTTTTCGACAGCATTTATTTTGGCATCAAAATCCAGGCTGGTGAAGATGGCCAAACGCAAGGCTGACGCTGCAGCTGCTGAGAATGATGGTAGTGATGCTGCCCCCGCAGGCGACGCTCCCCCAGTCAAGAGGTCAAGAGGCCGACCCAAGGGCACCGGTAAACCAAAGAAACCTGTCGATCCTGACGCCCCTAAACGACCTCGCGGAAGACCACGCATCAACGCACCGAAGGACCCCAACTCCCCAAAGAAGCCCCGCGGCAGACCACCAGCCGTCACCAGTTCCCCAAAGAAGAAGTCGACTCCTAAGGGCAAGGTGACTTCCAGAAGCAGCACTCCGGGGAAGCGAGGGAGGCCAGCGGGCTCCAAGAACAAGAACAAGAAACCGGCACGCAAGCCCCAGGAAGAAGAGGCCGAGCAGTCCGACGAGTAGATAGAGGGCGCTGTTCATTTTTTGTAGACTACGTCAGATGTAACCCAGTCATCAGGGAGGACATTGTCACTATGGAAATACAATGGACTTTAGATAATGCAACGTTTGGTGACTTTCCATGCTAAGAAGCCAGCCCCAGAACTTCATCTTGTTGATACCCGTATAATTTTATTTACGTCGCTTCGCCCAAAAGCTTACCCGTAATATGGACCTGATGTGAATGTTTTTGTTTTTAATGGTTGCCAATTGTATCCTAATTAAAGTCCATCCTGAAAAAAAAACAATGCTGCAGTTTTTACAACCAAATTTCGAAAAATGTATTGCTACAAGTGTTGTAGTCTGTCCATTTTTTGAGCCCCATGTTTATTGACATGTAAGTTCACGTGTTAAGAATGCCCCAATTAATGTGACAATATAATCTGCACTATTTTTGATGATAACAACTCCTCATTACGAGCAGCTCATATTTCAAAACTTAAATAAATCACTGTGCTTTGTCTGAAACGCATGCTCACTAGAAATTCTTCAAAGATTTCTGCAAACAGACTTTGTCTTTGTCTCAAAAAGTGGACGGTTTAACTCCTTCACTGTTATTTTCCACACGTTCAACTCCTCACCTGTGATATGCAAGGTCGCATGTGCATGAGCGTTGTTGTCTACAAAAACTTGAATGTCAGAAATTGGCGCTATGAACAATATTTTTTGGACATAATTTTTTATTCAAGTATTGAAATTTAGAAACTATTGTCTCAAAAGATCAAATTTCTACATGTAAGTTCATGTAGGTTTTAGCTGATTTAAAAAGAAAATAACGGAGCCAATTTCTGAAAAACAAAGGATTTATTTTCTTTTGTCATGCAAAATAATCAAGTTTGAATACCACCTTCACTGCCACTTTGTTTTTAACTCAATAGCTGTAAGTATGACTTAACTGTCCATGCTTGTAAAATGTAGCTTTCTTCATAGTTTTAGCCTTGTGTTTTTTTGGTGTGAAATCATGTTTAGTTCTGTAAAGTGTTGGTTCTAAATGTTAAGAAATTTAGAGCTATATATAATATGCAAACCTTCTGTCTTCAATGAATGAATGAACTCAACTGTAACTTGGATTTCAGATCTCGATACAATGTATCAATTGCATTTTAGGTTAAACCTGGCGGTTATTTTAGAATTAACTTTTTATAAAATTAGAAGACTGCATATTTCATATGAAGTCCCACCCTTATGATGTAAGAAATTGAATATCATCTCAAATATTCTGTACTTTATAATTTCATACTTATCAAATTGTCACAGTTTTTATCAGAAAACATCTATGTGTGCTTCATCTTTTGTTGCCTTTATTCAAGATTCTCTTTTTAAACGTTACATCACAATGCTTCAGTAACTGCTTTTAATATTTACGAAAGAAGTGTAGCCAAGAAAAAGTCATCTTTGTTATACTGATGGTGGTATAAATGTTTCAAAGCCTAGCCGTGCATAAGATTTGCAGTTTAAAAGATTAAGCTTAAAGACAGCAATTTCCAATTAAATTGGAGCCCCTCTTTTGAAAGAGAAATTTGGAATGAATGGCATGAAATACATTATTTAATCATGAGATAGTTGTCTGTTTTAAACAAATTACAGAAATACACAGATGCTGTTAAGCAGTCTTTTTTTTTTGCAATGATCAATTAGTTGATGATTTGTTGTGAAATTTCACCGGGAGGTTTTTACTCAGATTTTTACCAGATATGTATGAATGATTTGATGTAGCTTAAAAACTAACGGAGAAAAAAAGTCATGTATGTGTGCATGTAGTGCAGCATCTGAAACATACCGTTACATTAATTCTTTTCTTCATGTCTCACAATTTTTTTTAAATTCACAAATGGAAATATTTTAGAATCAAATATGCCATAAATCAGTATTTGCTATATGCCATTTCTTTGTCCAAAATTGTTTTGAAGATTAATAGCATTAATCATCCTATAAAACTTTACTTGTTTTTTTACAAAGTGTTCAACAGTTTTCATTTTCGTATCTCTTTTGTATTCGTACATATTTTGTTTTTGTCCATTTGGTAGTAGAACTGTTGAAAATAACGATGCCTGAAAATATGACGCATTTTTATGTATGTAGACATTTTTAGCTGTAACATCACCAATGTAGAATACTGAACCTGTATTTTTGTCCCTGTGAAAGACAATAAAACTTGTAGGTTGTAGTAGAACATGAGTTGTTTTGAATATTAACATTGAGTACGTGTACTTGCATAAAGTAGGGGTGTGGCTAAAGAATTAAGGGGGGGTTGAACAAGATCTTTTTATTCCTTGTGTTGTGAGTTAGTAATATTTCTTTGGGTAGGGGCACTTCTTTTCAAAATTGAACATGAACGTACGCATTTTCTATAAATAAAATAGAAGCAAAGTCAAAGGTACAGGCATGAGATTTTTGCAGATTTCTGTCTGAAATCAGACTTTTTGAAGATATGCATCTTTCAGACCTTTCATCAGTTTTCAGAACTTTTGTAATTGACAATCTCATCCCTGGATATAATTAGATGGCTTCAAGTCCCTTTTTTTGTGGCCGTGGGGTTGGGGGGGGGGGGGCGGAGGTGGGGCAAAAGGGGAGGGGGCATTCCATTTCCCTAATATATAGCCCCCTTGGTTCTACTAATAAAGAAACTACATTGGGTATACACACTGACCTAAAATGGAATCACATGCAAAACGCGCTTCTGCACACGGCCCAGTTGCGACTTGCGAGCTGTATGCGGACGTGTTAACCATCAGCGCGGCCGTCCGACAAAGTAAAGAATTGGCGAGAAATAAATCGGGTTCTCCCACCACCCCTCCACCACCTGCACTACCGGCAAAAATCATGCAAAAAAACAAAATTGAGAAGGGAATTACCGTGATTTTTAATTTAGAACAACCGACATGACCAACGGGATTACAGCTACTGTATTTATTTTTAAATCCTCAAATCAGACCTAGGGTTTTTTTTTTTACACATGTCGTGTTTTGATAATAAAGACACGGATTATAAAATTTTAAAATATAATAAAAAGAAAGCTAAATATACCTGTTTTGTGATTTCGATGTCACATCAGATGGAAAGAATATAGTATCCAGACGCCACTTCAGCGGTTGTGTACAAAGTCTATGGAGAGTCAAGGACACTTTTTTAAAGTATTTCCTAACAAATTTGGAAATGTTTCTTTCTCAGTCCCAGATTCACGTCTTTTCAACATTTTTGCAATGACTGACCTTTAGAATAAAAGTGGAGTCGGGTTGTAACATTCTTTCCCACACGCCTCATGGGAACAGACTAGCCTGGACATTTCTTGTTGACGAGCAATTCACAGGGTTTTTCGTCTTAACACCGGTTGTTCATTTTCTTAGCATTACTTCTCAGCGTGATTACGTAAGATCCTCGCAGACGCCCGCTATGTAAATTTATAGCCATGCTACGAATGCCTGCCTTTTTATCTCCACTCAACTCAACAATTCGTGACAATACTTTTTTTTACTCGCAAGTGTGGATTCTTAATTTACGAATCCACACCTTCCCGTGTTTGAAATTGAAACAAAATAGGCCCACAACAAAACGTTGAAAAACACTTTAGATTTAGTTCTTCAATATTGTTTTACAAATGTGACGAGAACTTAAACAAAATGACGACCAAATTTTGAATTTGTAAAAATGTTTTTTTTTTCTTTCTCCTTGAATACCAGAGAAGAACATCATTTTATTATTCAGAACAACTCAAAAGAAACGGAGAAAAAAACAAAAATAGGACCAAATTGAACCAAACTATAATTGTGCTCTCGGTATCATCGGGCCAATAAATTCCATGAAAAAAAATATCACGAAAAGCTCAATTTACCTCCGAACCAGTCTTTATTTGAGAAAAAGCTAAATGATTTCCTATATGCAAATGGCGTCGCGGAAAGTTACTGTGTGATAGGGCGCTTTAAAAAATAACTGGTTCGCGCCCATAATGAAATCACAGCGAGAGAAGACCGGGGACCAGGGACCATGTGTTTTTTACAAAACCAACCACACGTGCTTCGCCACACGCATTCGTAACTTGGCGGGCACGGAGGAAGGTTCGAAAACCCTCACAACAGTCAAAGTAAGTTTGTCATTTTTTGCATGACAATTTGACCATTTGGTCCTCAGAGCTTAGTTAGAAGTGACCGCACTACTGTATAGGTACTTTTGGAGTTCATGCAATCGTAAACTCAGTTCGAAATTTTTACTTTTTAAAGAAGAATTGCAGTCGGTGTTCTTTGACCTTTCTTCATTTTCTTGAGATGGGCGTGGCTGCAATTTCACTGCACTGCACTGCGCGGCGGTGTCGACGTTCAGGCTTAGCCTGGATTTTGGAAAGAATGTTGCAACCGGGCGCCACTTTTTTCTTCGTATATTATCTCAAATAAGGGCAGTCATTACAAAAATGTTGAAAGACATGTATTTGGGACTGAGAAACATTTCAAATTTTTGTCGGGAAATACTTAGGAACATTTTCTTGGAAAATTCCCATGTCTGGCCATCACTTTTCACCCTGTGCACAAACCCTATGGAACTGGTCTGAAAATTTCTCAGTATTTTCTCAGTAAAAATTCAAAATTTGTCACTGCTAATTTTGACTTTTTAGGACATATTATCACTTTCTGATGACTGATAGGTCATTTAAGGGAAAAATAAGTGATGGCCAGATATGGGAATCTGTCCATTTTCTTGACTCTCCATAGACTTTGTACACAACTGCTGAAATGGCGTCAGGATGCAACAGTTTTTCCAAAAAGGCTTGCGTATGGTTCGGTAGGCCTACATAGGCCTATCCAGGAAATTCTAAATTTCAACTAATAACTTGCTGTCTTTTGTTGTTTTACAGATGGTTACCATGACAGAGCTAGACTCCAAGCCAATGAAGTGGATGCTTTCAATAACGTCTAATGAACACATCATGCCGATCTTTAAATGCCGGCGAAACTTTCCACAAAGTCCTTGCAACTCTCCGTTTGTCATGAATTTACCGTGCCCGTCAAACAATATTATCCGCTGGAATTAGACCTATGTGCCAGTAAAGTCTAGGGCCAAAAAGTCTAGGGCCAACTTCCTAGGGGCCTGCAGTAAATAATTTCAGTGGTAATCTAAAAAATATGAGTAATTTGAATTAAAACAGTAACAAATTTGAATAAATCTGTATGATGTTTAGACCTAAAAAAATATGGATGCCTAACTCTAACTCCCTAGGGGTGTGCAAAATCATATTAAAATTTGAGGATTCAGGACTGTTGGGGTTAGTAGGTCTTAAACTATAAAATAAACTTATTTAAAATAAATTAAAATTACGAGCAGCACAGGCACTCTAATCCAAACCCAAGGTGAAAGCACATAAAATAAATTTAAATTTCATATAGTATTAAGCAAATCACTTGGGAGGGTAAATCCAGTTTTGAATACAAAATACAATGCAGCTTCCAAGTGTGCAAAAGTCATTTTGTATCATTTTCACAAAAGTGTAAATCCTTGCAGTATTTTTAAGGTCCTTCCCCTGCATGCCACAAGTAACAGATAACCATTATGTTAAGCACAAACCATTAATTAACAAACATCACTTTAATCACTAACCAACTAAGACCTAGCAAAATGCTGCAAGGACTGGGGCAATAGTCTATTTTGGATCTTGAGGTCCCTTGTGCAATAAGTTTGATTTTCAAAACTGGATTGCCAACATTTTTCTTAGTGCAGGATTTTAAAAAATATGGAAATGTAAAAAAAAACTCGTCACCTTCACAACATTTTGAAAACAAACCACATAGTTTTTAACAAGCACTTTCTACGCACAAATAATAAAAGTAAGATAGAGTTTAAACTAAGTTTAATTAAAACAACTAATTTTTTTAACTTAACTAAGTTCTAATGAAAGGGCAATTATTTAAAATATGCCTACTTAAAATGCACAGGAAAAAAATGAAATCAAATTATACTGGGATAAAATAATAAAAATGCTAAAAGAAAGACTCAAACTATACATAAAGGACACCTAAATCGTATAACAACTTGGTTGGCCCTGGGCAAACTTGGGATAATGGTCGGTGTACATGTAGAGCAGGAAATTTGAAAGCTTTTGAATGCCATCATGGAGAAACTCTAAAAAATAGAATCCAAGTTGCCCCTGCATAAACTTTGGACAATGTGAGAAAGACAAACTATGAACTTGTGAGGATGACATTATAAGGACCGGGAAACTAGAAAAGGCTACATCAAGATGGGCAGTGTCACAGATAGGATGTAGGCCAGTGTGCTGAAGGAGGCAAATCATCCAATGATCATCACCAAGATAGAGGACGGGACTTTTTCATCGAAATGTCTGACTTGGACCGAGAATCAACAGTCGAAGGCAACACTGGAAGCAGCACTTGGAAGCAGAATCAAAGAACACACCTACCTTGAACTCCATGCCATTTCGCAAGCTTGACAACTGGAGGATGAGCTTGTTTGGAAGGATGATTCCTGTCTGGAAGGACCGAATTGGTCTTTGAGGAACAATGACTTTCTGATGATGGGACGTGTGGAATCCTGTTTACTTTCTGATGTTGGGACCATTGAAGTTCGCCATTCTTACTACCAGTGGAGGCCCGTCTCGCTCAGGAAACTGAGGTAACTTTATTTTATTGGATGATAGTAAAACAAAATAATCTCCCACAGGCAGTTTTGACTACTTTCTTTAACAAAATCAGGGATTATTAAAGAATCCACATGAGGGGTGTTTTTCTGCACGGTGAACTTGATGCCTTTTGCTGATAAATAAATATGGTTTTCCTTTCATTCATTTCAAATACTTTTCCTCTGTTTAAGTCTGCAGGTCTTTGGACGTTATCCCGCTGTGAGCATCGATAAGAAGCCTGGGTTGCCAAACTCTTCAGAGCTTGTTACTTCCACTGATGAGGCAAGACAGAACGACCAGACAGCTGGGGTAGAGGCCGGGGGACAAGATTGCATGTTCATAAGGTGAGGTAATCATTGTATGCAGGCTTGAACATGCACAAGACCCCCGGATGTTGCCGTACAGTTTGCAAGTGGAGTCGCTTGGATTGTGTGGTAGATTAGAACGAGGGGGACAAGGTTGCATGTTAACCAAGGTGAGGTAACCATTTCTCTACAGCTCTTCTAGGCCACATGCCTCAAGACTTGTCCCCCTGGATTCTGGATGTTGTTCTGTGCATTCTGGATGTTGTTCTGTGGATTGTGCCGAGTGGTATCCTGTTTTGACTGATCTAACCATCATGATTGGATTGTTCAAGAATTGCCAGTTGAGAGGGGACAAGTTATATGTTAACCGAGGTGAGGCAGCCATTTTTTGCTCATTTCCATCAATGAAATCAAAACATGGGTTCAAATTTGCTGGTTGATAAACTTGAACCATCCTCGAAAAAAAAGTTTATATTTTTCTTTTCTCTAAAGGTCGCCGGCCAAAATTGAGCATGTGCTGCTAGACTTCATTTACAGGACTAAAGATCCTCTATATCCCGATGTCCTCAAGACGGCAAGCTGGATGGATGATAAGGGATCAAGCAACGGCCTGCACCAGGAGATGTTATCTTCAAGTTGCTGGATGTAGCTGGAGTAAAGATGGCATCAACGTGTAGTCAAGGTGAGCAACAAATCACCTGCAACAGAAGTTTGTTTTTGTCCAGAAAAGCTTGCTTTAATTTCGCATGTCAAAAAGTTAAAAATAATCAAGTCTTTAAAAAAAAAAAACACCCAAAATGAGATCCACAAAACGATTATCTTCAAAATATTATTTTCACTCACGAATATTTGATCTGAACCAGGTTTGAAGTTTCTGTTACAAAATATTTGCTTGAGATATAAAACTTGAGGTTCTTTTTTTCTTCTTCTTCCTTTTTCTCCTTCCAGCCAAGATGTGCTTTTGACGAGAAACCCACAGGAGACCATATTTTATCTGCTGTGGCAATCGTGAGCGAGGACCATCAGTTTGATGAGGTATGTGCTTTCACATAATTATGCAAGGCGTTCTGGCAAATCCCCCTCCCAAAATATAAATAACAATGGCTAGTTCAATTTCAAATTTGTCCCCTTGTTTCCCACTTTGTAGGTTACATCGCCAGAGACGGAGTAAACATCAAGACGATTCTACCATAGCCTTCCTGCCACAACAGTGTCACAACATCAGCCACAATATCGGCATCAATCAACTAGATCTACTACGCAAGGATTGTGATCATCATGCACTCACCTGGGTTTTGAGGGTCAGTACAGATAATTTGACCTTTTTTTTGCTGAAGAGGGGGGGGGGGGAGGGAGGACAGGGGGATATGTCTCTCCCCCTCCCCCCAAAAAAAGGTTTTTCTCTTGCCCCCCCCCCCCAGTTTTCCCACCCAACCCCCCATGCCCCAAACGCCCCACCCCCCTCCCCCCCCCCCCCACCCCCCTCCCCCAATACAAACATTGTCTACATAGAGATCAATCAGAACCGGTTTATTTCCTTTTCTGTTCAGAATCGGAACTAAAGTTAAAAATATAAAGTAAAATCTTGGTTCTTTGCACACAGTTGGCCCATAGCGTTATATTTTGATGGCCCCAAACAGTTATTTCTCCCCCACCCACTCGCCCCCCCCTCCACTGATTCCAAGACCCTGCTGCTCAAAATCAATGTATTTTTTTGTCAAAGTTGTAATAGAAAGTTTCTATCTTTCATATTCCTCTTCAGGTGCAACAAACAGCGATCATGATAGCCTTTCCATAGCAGCATCGGTCAGACTTGACCTTATAACCCTGAAGAGAGAAGGCTCCTCATTGGTGGATCTTGGAACTCAGACTGGAGGGGGATTAGTTGTGCTCTTTGGGTTTTTTCCCCCAACTGATTAACCTTTTGTAGGCAAATTTATGAGAAAACTTCTGATTTGACCTGTTACTCTAAATATTTTTATTCAATTAATTTTAATTGAAATAAATTATATTGTTTTTGGAAAGAGTGCGAAATAAATTTTTAGCTGGGAATGATTAGCTATGACTTAATGCTCAAAATTATATGAAGTTGAAGATGTAAAATGAATTTTTCTTGAGGATTGGTCAAGCAAGAGCAATGATTTATTTGTATTTGCAAATGTGTGTATGTAGTTTTGGAGTTGCTTCACAAGATTTTATCCTATCAACCTATCTGGGTTTTTAGAGGCCAAATCAAATTAAGTTTCAACCGCATACTTTATTATGACACAGTTGACCAAAACTTAAAACTAATTTGTATGTTAAACTAAATCTTCCCTGTGCAAGTTTTATTTGTGCGTTCTTGGTTAAGTGAACAATAATTGGCCAGAATACCCTTACATTAAAGGAATCATACAGTAAACAACTAAGTATTAAAGACTGACAGATAAAAACTGGTTAGTTGTTAGGTGTTTAGTATTAGTACGATCTTTAATCCAAGTAAGCTTTTGGATATTAATAATTGGCTAGGTAATACCGTTTGGATAGATGCAAACTAACAAATACTAATTTGCATGCGATCATAAATCCTTAAATTCAATGTCTTATTAACCTGCAAAGCACTTACTAATATTGTTTATTTTAGTACCCGTTCATTTCTTTTCATTTAATGACATACATTCAGTTTAATATGACCTCACTTTTAAACCCATTTATAATTTTACTTCCTATTTGTTTGACTATTTTAAAATAGTTAACCCTAACGTCCTAGCCATTACTTTGGGATGAAGAACGGAGTACGGTACTTCAGATACTAGTAGTGTTGTGCACACTTATATGCTGAAGTAGATCATTCTATAGTTTACTGCTAGTAGTATTTTGTAGCTTTAGGTCAGGTTTTTAATTGAAACTTTTTGTTTCATTTCTTGTCTTCTTTGAGAGACCACATTAAGTGTCAATGGGTTTACCCTGATTAAAGATCAGAAATAATAAATACAAATCTCATAATTTACTTACCATAGGCCAAGTAAAAAAAAGTTTAGCGTCCTGTTTTAAAAAAAAAAAGCACTTTTTTTTTTGTCCTTCCAAAATGGCCGCCAGCTTTTTTTTTTTTTAAATGGCCGAAACTTGGACTCGGGAATGACATACCAGCTTTATATGGGCTAGATGCAACAGACAAATAGGCCAGAATGATGTCACTGTTTACAATTTATATTTTTTTCGTGTTAAATTTTTTTTTTAAAGGAAGCGGGCGGGGACGCTAAACATGTTTTTGTTTTTTTTATTTGGCCTTAAGGTGTTTTTTTACTTGTTTAGTTTAGTTTTCTGGTTAGTACTTTGGTTATTTCACTAAGCTGTTATCTTCAGTCTTGAAGTTTAATTGAATAAATTACAGAACTTGTGTCTGTTGTCTCGAGGAATTCAGTTACTGATCACAATCTTATCCTTAAAAGATCCCACGATTAGTGTTGTTAAGAGAAAGGTCCCCGCTGTCAATTTTCAAGTTACGTACACCTCTGACAGTGTCAACATTATAAAACTTATAAATGGTATAAGGGATTATCCTTGAAATTGTGTAAATACAAATGTGGTCACGATTTACTTGTCACCAAATCATCAAATACTGCATTTTTTTAGGGTGAAATAAGCAAAGTGCAATGTGGTGTGCATTGTTCCAATAGATTTTGAAGTAATTGGAAAAGAATGTAGTATCCAGACGCCACTTCTTTGGTTGTGTGAAAATTCTGTGGAAAGTCGAGTGCATTTTCAAAGTTTTCTCTTACAAAATTGGAAATGTGTATCAGTCCCAGATTTCATGTCTTTTCAACATTTTTGCAATGACTGACTTTCATTGAGATAATATAATGAAAAAAGTGGCATCAAGATGCAACATTCTTTCCAGAAATCAATGATTTCAATTTGGATTCCTGGAATCATTTTTTTGGGGGGGTGGGTGGGTTGGTTCCGATAACAAAAAGCTTTCTTGCTTCTATGAGCAGTCTGAAATGGACATAAAACATTTAAAAACACAACTATGTTTACTCATTATAACCTTGCAAAAATCAGTTAAATGTGTTTTATTGTGGCTTATACATCATACCCTTTTTTCTCAAAGTGATAACATTCATTTGAATTATGTCGATGTTAAATAGTACAAAATATTTACATAACATTTCCATAATGGCAAGCTTTATCCCTCTCATTTTTTTTTCATCTCAAAATGGGTAACAACTGTAGATACTGTAATTTGCTTATACGAAAAGAAGTTTACAAAAGGGTTAGGGTTTACAATGGTTGGGGTTTGTGTTTTATTCGAATAAACTGAGCAAGTCTTCAAATTCTTACTCAAAATCTTTGCTTTATTGCAAGGGATATACATTTCACTGTGTCCGCGTGCAGTTCCAACTTGTCAAAGTCAATCTTGAGCAAGTCTAAAAAAAAAAAAAATCATTTTGTCGCTTTATATTTTTTTTTACATGCTCGCATTTTCCCGATTTTTTTTTTTTGAAAGCATGTTGCTCAAATTTAATGAATGCCTATAGATGCATTCCGCAACATTCATGGTAATGCGTCCATCGTGCAATATCCGCACAGTCGGACATTTTGCAAACTTTCCAAATCATGCTAGATTCTTTCCAATAAGCACTCCAAGACCATTACCATGAAAGTGTCTATACTGACCCAAAATATGGAGGCCAATCAATAAGGAACCATGCATGCTTTCGAAATTGTAAAACTGGACGCAAATTATTTGAAATTAGCATAAATAGTTGTTTTTTATACAAGGGGTTGAGGTTTACATAATCCAAAACAATCCTTAAATTTGACCAGAAGAGTTGAAACCAGATTTATTTTGTTCTCCCATCTAGTGTTTCCTCGGAATTGTTTTCAACATTAAACTGTATAATTGGTTTTTCTTTAAATGTTTCATTTTAAGGATGGAATAATTCAATCAAACTGATATTGAACCAAATGAAAGAATAAAACCTTCACACAGAATAGATAAACCAAAATTATTTCAATTCACAGCACAATGTGTCTTATTTCCAAAAACTCCATCGACAAAAATAGGTACAGTTTATTTATGGCCCTACCAAAGTGTTAGGAGGGGATGAAGTTTCAACTCGACATTACAAATCAAAAGTGCAAAACAAAAACAATGAACTCAATTTGTCAACACATACAGAGCGTGTATGTACATGTAGAAACACCCCAATGTTTACATGAACGAAAAAAACCACCAATTCATATGTGCAAATTTGTGAGTAAACGTTCGAATAATATACATTTTTGTGTTTACAATTAATAAAAATATAGTTTGTACATCACCTTGTTTTAATAAACGCATAGCAGCCATGATCTCTGGTGTCTGTGTAAGAAAAGTTGAAGAAAGGGACGAATCGCCAACAGTCAGAATTAAGGAACAATTATTGAGGGATGAAGATAATCAGGATTTAGAACATTTCACTTCTTTGCCACTTTTTGAGACCAAAATCCCTCACCTCAAATAAAAAATTTCACAAAGTTTGAGAGTTTTGCATGAGACCAAATGCTTCAAATAAATGTCCAAATCTTCAATATTTTACTCCGAGTGAGGGCGCTATCACCATTTCATAGGTTTACTTACATTTCAATGAACTTTAATAATACAAACTACAAATAAATTCTCAACTTTACACACTCGAGTAAATAAAATTATTTTTGTGCATCAAAAGTGAAATTTGTGAATCAAAATTCTGTGTATGTCTCAACACAGAAACTCATAACCGAGTCAAAAAATATTAAAATAATAATAATGAACAAAAATACAGAAAATCAACGAAAAAGCAAGCTGTCCACATCTTAATGATTTGAAATAATTGGTTATAAAAAAACCCAACATTTCTCAAAAGAATAAATCGAGTAAGATATGCAATAACCTTTTGGATTTTGCACCTTTGTTCATCGACTCGCGACTATTATTTTTTCTTCAGAAAATTTCTTCGCACACTGCTGTAAATAAGCCATTTGCGAGTAACCTATACCCTTTGGGATTTACATTTGAAAAACGTCTGGTACAATGACTTGCTCAGAATGCTTGGCACATTTTAACTTTGAATTCTCCAGACCAAAGACACTGTTGCTAATCACAAGATTCGGGGCAAGCTCTTGCATAGTTACGTAAGAGACGCTCAACACCAATACATCGTTCACAATGGGTGAGAATGGCACAAAGACACCAGACCATGCCGGAGCTGGGGGTTGCTAGCATAAGGCTTGCCCCGAATCACGTGATATAGTAACAGTCTCTTTGGTCGGGAGAATGCTAGGTTAAAACGTGCAAAGCATTGTATTAAGTCAGCGTTCCAGATTTTATTCAAATTTAACTCGCAAATGGCTTATTGAAACCATGACGTCATGAAAGTTTCCCCCATTTCAAACTGATGTTTCCAGAGTGGCAGTGAACTCAATGAAACATCTGAAACAATAAGGAGCAGCAACACGCAAAAGATGGACTGCCTGGAAATCGTTCAAAAGAACTCCACATTTTAGTTGATGGAAAATAAACGCATAAGGCTTGCCGGTCTGAAACCAAGTTCTGGGTCAACTTGCTGAAATGGCAGTCAGAAATGGGAATTGGCAATTTCGTATTCATTTTGGGAAGAAATATTTCTAAGAAATGTTGGTAAGGTGGCCTGGGGATAGTACCCTGTATCTGTGTTTGGGTGTGGTTAGGGTGTGGTCAGGGGTGTGGTCAATTGATTCCATATTTACAAACTGCATATATATATATCTGTCTGTGTAAAAACCACAAAGGATCGTGCCTTCGATTTCCCAGCAGGAATATAGATGAAAGGAGCAATTCTATTTTCATCTTTCACTACCCGGTACTCTATTAAAATCAGGTTCTATATATTGCATTGAGTACAGAAATCTGTTGCAAATACGTGGAAAGACAAAATGGTTGACACTTTTTGAGCTACAATAAAATAAATATTCGATGAATACAGTACAAGATATTGATATTTCTTATGTCAGATTATATACACGTGTACAGATGCAGATTGAGTTACAGTTTATATCGAGGCACGTTAGATAGTAGCAGAAAATTGATTTTTTTTTTTCATCGTTTATAGTGTAACTGGCAGCAATGTATGAAGATTATTGACGTTTATAATATATGTCATTGAATGTAAAGGTAACTTACTTTTATCGTTTTGAATTACATAAAAGAACAAATGAGCTATTTCCAAAACGCGATCACCACTTTTTTAACAAGTTCGCGCAGGATGACGTGTATACACGCAAAGGTTTTGCGGTATTCAGAACGGATGACGGATAAACACGCAGGGAGCAAGGCTGGAAATATCCATCAGCAACCCGCTTGCAGCGACCAAGGCCAGAAATACGAGTGTGCTGCCCGAGGGTGATGGTTTCAACCCGCCTGGCTTGAGTTCGAGTGAAAAATAATCCCACGCCTTGTTCCGTTCTTGTCAAAATAATCCCGGCACAAACTGGTTAATACTTAATAGCCTTCTCCTGATTGCCCAACGTTAGTTTCGACAGCTGTGATATAGGTAAACACAATTTTAGAATACAATGAAGCGAAACGTAATTTGCAAACAGCTGCTTTGCTGTGTACGTTCTATACGTTTTCATAACCTGCAACTTTTTCCCTTTTTTTTCAAATGGATATATCGCGTTTTGGAAATACTCTTCAAATTTTTGATTGACGAAAAAAATATCATGCAAACATGTACACGTTCATCATAACTTAACAAAATAAACCCCTTGTTTTTGTTCAAACAAAAACCACCAAATCTTAAAAGTATCTGTCTTGTGTATACTTATGAGCCAAACAATTATTCATTCTCATTTTTAAACTTCAGCCTGGTTGATAAGATATTTAGGAACCGCCAGATTACTCCAATTTATACAGATTTCGGCATCCCTTCCACAAGGCACATGAGAATGTTAAACGTCATCTCAGTGTAATATTCCGGCTTCTAAAATGATTATCAAGCACCTAATAAATTTGATTCTTACTTGGTTACAGCAGTACTCCTAGTACCACCATGCTAATGGAATTTTGTAATTTATTTTACGAGTAATATACATCTCTGCGATTACTATTGCTCTTTTTTTTTCAATTTCTGAAATATGGGTTCATTAGATTTTTGTTTCCCTTTATTTGATGGCTATAGTAACTGTTGCGTGTGAGTAGACAGAAGAAAAATGAGTACAGTTTCAAAAACAAAATAGGCCGATTTATCACCTGGTATACATGAAAATTGACTCTTTTTTTGAATAATGAAGTAAAATAGCAAACCGTAAGGTTTTTCTGATGTTTAATTAATTTGTTTGGGTATTGATCTGGCAGCCTCTCATGGAAAAAAAACACCTATAAATGTAGTGCAGATGCAGGTTCAGTGTGGAGACATACACAAAGAAGCTGCAGAAATGGAGGGCTGAGAAGTGTGGCAGAAAACCAATGACTTCAGATCTATCGGTTACAGGTTAGAAGCCAACTCCAGCTGACAACCGATCAATGGTTTAAGGATTTAAATCCAGCCCCACTTCAACTCCTGATCAGCTGGTCTCGGGTTAGACTCCAGTTGAGCAAGCTATGGGTTCGAATCCCACTCCGGCTGACTTCAGATCGACAGGTTACGGGTTCAAGTCCAGCCAAAGCTCTCTGTAGTGTTCTTGAGCAAGGCATTTTACTCTACTTGGTTGAGCCGGTGGGATAATCTAAGAACTGTATCCAATCCATTGGGAAAGTAGCATAATCCATTACCACGGAAACTGAAGACAAATGCAAATCCAGTGTACTGCAATGGCTCAAAAAAAATTTCCACTTGATTTTTCCAAAAGCGATGATGTCCCCATCTAAAATCTTGTGTTGGTCTGTAAAGAAACTGCTGTCCAAGTACTCACGACTACGGGACTAAAGCGAACAGATATTAAACTCTACTCAATCAAATCTGTCTCTCCGAACGGTTTCATTTGAAAAACACAGCAATCAAGAAAATGATGACGGATGGCATAGACATAGCACGTAGATTTGTTTCCCTGCAGATACAAAGTGTCCAATTTCACACTGTCTGTTGTTTAAAAAAAAGTTTCCCTTCGCCGATTGTTTCACTTTCATAATATCGTATCAAAAACGTGCATGGACTTGGTGATGGTTTCATCCTGCAAATTGAAGAGGAAAAAGGAAATTAAAAAGGAGTTAGACACCAAAAATTCAGACTTTGTCAAGGGTACGGTGAGGTTAATTGAGCAAAACAAAAACAACTATTGGAATCAATCAAATCACTTAATGGGCCTTATTCACAAGTTGGCCATTTTTGTCGAGTTCCCTGAACATATTTCATTAAGTGTTAACTGTTCAATGGGATGGTGCCAGACTATTTATGCAGGCACAATGCAGCATTATTTTACTGTTTTTTTTTTTCAATTTAATCTAGCTTTAAACATTAGGGAATTTTTAATTACAAATTTAAAATTATTCATTGAAGCAGACTGCAATTTATTATAAATTAACTGGCTTTCATTTCTCTTCGCAAGTTCCAAAAATTAAGATTTTACCTAACTTTCAATTCAATATTGCCGACTCGTGAATAAGGCCCATTGATTTCAACCTAAAGTTAGGTGGAAGAGACGGACAGAGATCAGCTGAGCAGAGCTTTAAAAATTTTTTTTTTAGATATGGCAAACACAATATTTGGTAACAAAAAAGTCTACCCGAACCACATATAGCGCCCTCTTGTGTCCACCATATCTCAAGACGGATAGTGCAGAGTAGAAAACAACACTTACGCTTCTGCACGAGTCTAAAAACTCATCTATCGTTACGACACCATCTTTGTTAAGGTCCATTTTCTGAAAGAAAACAGAATGAGTAAAAAGGCATAAAAACATGAAGTACATACATACACTGATGAATTCAGAGATGGTGACCTTAAAACATCAATTTTAAATCAGTGTCATTATTTTTGATTTTTTTTCTCTGAACATCGCCCTCATGTGACCTAAAAATGTGAACCTGGCATTAGCAATCTCAATGAATATGAAATTGATTATGAAAATATCTTGAATTTAAAATTTGACAAATCTTAAATGTCAAATTCATAGCATTAGTGTTCTTTGTGTTGACTTCTCCAATTTATTCTAAATTTATGGGTGGTGGGTTACCAGAAGTTTTGTCTATTAGTATTCGAAAAAAATAAGTAAAATGTATGTTATGTATATTTCAAAGAACACAAAAGCCTAAAAGAGCTAAGTGTTATAGTCTGTTGCCTAGGATGCAGTTACCACATTCAAACACTCATCACCAATGCTGCAGGGCACCAGACCAAGATGGCTGATTTAGACTGTTAGCCATACCTGGAAGACTCTTTCAACATGCTCCCCCGGTGTGATGTCTTCTGACGTGGGTTCTGAATACTTGCCCATCATGTCGTAGATCGACTGTATTATACTCAGCATCTCCTACAGAGAAAATGAAAGCCAAAATAAAAGTCGTTTTTATTCAGTACTCTTTATTTAATAATGATCACAGTTACTCGATCCTGGCATGCCAATTAACAGTACAAGATGACAAAAATATCGGGATTATTTAGGGGGTAGTTTGAAAACAGCTTTCTGTTTTCATTAACTCATAATGGAGTTTGAAACTTGGATATGATTAAAAAAAAAAAGCTCAGGTAGAATTTTCATCCTTGTTGATCAGACATTCATAATTTATTTTATCATTTATTGAAGGTCGTCTGATAATTAAGGAATTTTCATCCAGATAATTATTTTTTAAAAAATGACTCAGTTTATAACGGAGTCATTCAGCACTGCTACTGAGATGAGCAATAATGGCAAATACAGTGTAGTAATTAATACCGCGACAACACAGTAGCATACAAGCATTTCTCATTAATTAAGCCTTAATTGCTTTCAGTTGATCACCTGCATACATTACGTGCTGGTCGGTACCATGGACTATGTTTGTGTAACAAAAATAATTATGCAGCAAGAGTTGCCTCATACGTTACAGTCCACTGTTAACATAACATGCACAGTGAGACAGTGTTCCCGATATACACGAGCTCAATTATGGCATAGAAACTGATATCTTAAAGAGGCTCTTGTGATAGGTTACTCCAGAAGGGCGCCCTCTTGTGGTCACCTATTGTTTTTACTGAAATGCCTCCATCAATAGATTTTGACTGGTCATCATAAACTTGAGCAATGGTTACAGGCGAGCAACTGAGAAAAGAATTGTGTTAAAGTGGAATTGAGAAAATTCTTGGCTGTTTTGACTGCGACTTGCTGGATCAAAATCAACAGAGGGCGCTTTACTTATAACTTAGTCTGTATACTGCCACAATATCTCAATTAGATACCGAGTCCGGGAACTCTCTTAAGCAGTCATAAAGCAGTTCAAGCACCTCATCCATAGCACAGGGAGTGACCATTTCCCGTGTCAATTCAGAAGACACGTCACAGGCACAAAGGGATGTTTTTGGCGAAGTTCACTCAAACAGCTTAATGACTTGTGATTAATTTGTGATGACTTGTGATTGCCTTGTGATTGCCTTGTGATTGCTTGTGACGCTACTTACTTCTCTTGTGATGTACCCATCGCCATTGATATCATACAAGTTAAAAGCCCAATTCAGCTTGTCGTTTAGTGTCCCCCTGGAGAGAACTGACAATCCCATGACAAACTCCTGGGGGAAAAAAAAAACAAATATAAAATTGTCAAAAGTAATGTATCTGGATAAAAGTCGGATTGAAACGTACAAGGCTACATATGTATTTAGAATTGGGACATGTTTCCATGGACCAGCCAAATTAACACAAAACCTTTTTTGGTTGATACCTTAAAAACTTAGACACCATTCACATACACAGCTCAAATTGTTTTCAAGATCTCAAGAAATTAAATATAAATACTTCTGACTTGTCTGCCCCACCCCCCTCCCCCCCCCGAAAAAAGTAAAACAAAAGCTTGTCAGAAATTGTCATCAAATCGGAGCTTGGCGGATACAGCTTCTGGGATGTGCTGCAAAACTTCAGCAAATTTGTATGAACAAAGTTTCTGCCGACGTGACATGTTTGATGGGATTGATACTTCAAAGTTCCAAATTGAGCCGTCTCTCCTCAAGTCTGTGCTATTCAGAGACAGATTGTCTGCTTCCCAAAGGCAAAAAGTTAATTGTATGTTCAACATGTTCCCAGAATGTTCTTTTGTGTGATTAAACTCAAAGCATCTGAGGGCGTCAATCTATGTTACCTGTTCGCAACTCAGAAAATAAAAAAAACACATTTTTTTCCCCCCAGTTCATGTGTCCGATAGATTTCCCCATTGGCGCCACTCCAAGAAAAAAGAGAGAAAACAGAAATGAGCAAAAATGGCTCCTCAAGTTGCTCTGGACTTGATTGATTTCCCAAGGGGATAAAATAGACCAGGTTTTGCTGCAATGTGGTTCCTATGGGTTTGACATTTGATTCCAGCAGTTGACAGCTGGTCAGTCTCCTTGCCAATTAACGTCTGCAGCTCATCGGGCTATCATGTTATCGATTCAATATCTTTACATATGACAAGTGGATCAAGTTCTGACATCCATGCACCGATCCTTATTTTTTGTGTGGATAAATTGAGGCCCTTTTTTTTGCAAGACTTCTTCAATAACAATTCTTCTCCCCTCTTGTATTTACTAAGGCTTGACATCGGACGGAATCGTTTGGATATTTTGGGATTTGGCAAACATTTTGATTTTGACCTAAATGGACATAGCCAGTTACTGAAGTACAAAGTAGTAGATTTAATAATAATAACACGATTTGTAGCGCACATTTTTGCAAGTTTCAATGCGCGACTAAGAACAACTCCGGAAGACAAGTTACAGATTATGTGGAGAGAACAGATCAGTTATCAGTCTGCCCTTAAAGTTGTTGAGAGAACTGATGTTGCGGATGTTGTGTGACAAGGAATTCCAGCATCAGGGACCAGACACTGAGAAGGCCCTGTCCCCTGCCTTTTTGAATTAGAACTAAAACTTGGCTTTAGTATTCAGAATATTTTAATATAATCTTAAATTTTGTTGCAATCGGTTTATTTATTTGATCTGTTTCCTCTAATCACCATCAGTCCATCTCTTCTTCTTGCAAAAAAAAAAACTATAATGAATTCCAAGACTTGTTTTTGTTCTCCAATGGTCACATCTGTACCGACCTCTTCTGACCATATACCTTCAAGCGATTGAAAAACACTGGAAAGCGATATTCGGATTTTCTTTTATAACCGGCACAAAGACAAAATCGTCAACAACTTCTCCGATCCTCTCAAGCCTCACAAGATTTGAAAGCCTAGCTGACAGTTGGGCACACGTACACCGCCTAGCCCAGGGCCAGACTGGCTTATCACACAACGGAAGCACATTTACTTTTAAAGCCCGGTGCCGGTATGAGCCGATAGATGTGAGATCTGTAGCGGCATGTGGGACAGAGGGAAGGGATGAGGCAAAGCTTCCTCCCCAGGGGGTGGGGAGGTTCAACGTACATATGGAGGGGTGAAGGGATGTGGCTCTGAGTGGTTTCAGAAAGCTGTGAGCACGATCATGGTTGGGTTTTTAAAAAAAATGTGTGACCGCATTAGGTTTTTTTACTACACATTTATCCGGATTTTTCGCTGCGCGGCAACCTGTGGTCTGATTTTTATGTTTTTGGTATCAAAAGATGCACAAGGCTTGAGGCTAAAAAGTCATAACAGCTCAGGTCGTGAAAATTTTTTTTGTTTAAAGATTATCGCAGAAAAAGTTAAGGGGGGGGCGGATTCTGCCCCCCCCCCCCCCCCCCCCCCCCCGCCCTTTTAGGGTTAAACTTAGCCCTTAGAAACTGTCGAATGATTACTTAATTGTGGTGCAGTTGAAATGTCTGAAAATGCAGGTAAAATTGGAAATTTTTGGGAATGTGTAAAGGGTACCAGCATTAGCTGGGGAGTAACCTGCGATGGACTAGCATCCCGTCCAGGGGGAATAGAAATATTCTCAGTCATTTCATGCTACTGAAACTGTAGATAAACGCCGGCCTCATGGGCCACATTGGCTCATGACAGACTTGACTTACTTTGACTTGGGATGGGATGGGGGTGGAGGGTTTTTTTGGGGGGGGGGGGGAGAGTGGGGAGGGGGAGTGGAGGGGGATGGGTGGAAAAGATATTGATGATATCTCAATGACTATCTCTTTACCTCAAATGTAATGGAGCCGTTGTGATCCGTATCAAATGAATTGAAGACAAAGTGGGCATAATGACTGGAATCTAAGAGGGAAAAAGAACAAATACTCCAAGTTGGCTCAAATGTACAAATGTTTCATTTACTACCCAAATAACACTTATTACAAGTGCACAACACTAACACACTCAAAACAGATGACAACTTCTCACAAAGTTTTGAAAATCTCCATGGGAAGCTTAAAGACATGCATAAGCAGTTCACCATCAGTCAAAATTGAAGACACCTTCTATTTTTCGACTGCCATGGACTAAAATCATCAAGACAAGAAATGCTAAATCTGGGTCAAGGTTTATAGAGTCACTAAGCAGAAACTTTTTAAGCAGATTTATGTCTTGGGCAAAAAAATCAACTAGAAACCTCTGGTTTTGCTTAGCATGATAATTCCTGATAATGTTCAAGAATTTGACTGTTTACATCTTGATTGAGGAATAAAACACAAGTTGACGTAAGACAAAGATCTGGACTTTACCTCCTTGGGGGAAAAACTGTGAGTAAATTTCTTTGAATGTTTCTTCGTTCACGAGCCCTGACGGACACTCCTGTATGAAGAAAAGAGAAAAAAAATGAAGAAAAAGTGACGATTAAAAAGATGAAAATAAACAAATCAACGACCCATAACTATTTTTCCAAAAAGCTGATCTTTTAAATTTGGGATGTCAAAACGCTCAGATATTAAAATGAGATGATATCGCAGAAATCCATCCCCGTATTTTGGCAAAAGTAAAGATATGATCTTCCCAGGACATTAACACTAAGTCTCCACAAACAGAAATATATCGATTGCCGCGCTTTCTCCTACGGCCAGATATGGAATCTGATCGACGTGAAGCCACTTATGCACCCAGCAGGGTGCTAGGACTGTTAATGGAGCCGATTCGCCATGCTTCGGGGACTGGCACAAGAACCTATGGGAGAGGAGTCAGGGTTCCAGACCATGGATCCTTCAGGGCTTTCTACACTTAGCCCGTGTGAAGTCGGGCATCCACAAAAATTGAGAGGGGAAACGTGATATTTTTAGAGGATGGAACTTCAGCCATTGAAGAGATAAAAGACATGTTTTTATGAAGTCGTCCGACATGGTTTTTACATAAACAGGAAGTTCTGTCCACTTATGAACGTTTCTCTGCATATTTCAGAAATGCCACATTCAGGCATACATTTTTTTAACAGACTTTTTTCTGTTAATATATTTAACATTAGGAAATTGATCTCAAGGAACACAAAAGGGTTAAGATAGAGGGTTTTGAAATATTTAAACATTTTGAGCAGTTTTTGCAAAAATTATAACATTTATAGAAAATTTAATAAAACACCAAGGTTTGGGATAAAACTTCCATATCTCCAGTATGTCCTAAAAAGTACAGCAGTGGGCAAAGTGTTAAACAAATGTAAGCTTGGAAGTTATATTAACATTAAAACATAGTTAGTATTGAATTAGGTCGTGCTGAAAACAGCGATCGTGTTTGTTACTCTCTGGGCACCGGCGGATAAAATATGCACTGTCATGTCAATAGGATACAGTGTGTAATGACACCGCGAAACCCATGAATTACTGAGTGATTCCACTCCTAACCAAACTCACGACGCTGAGTCTCGATCGGCCCGCAATCAGACCCCTGATGAATTGGACTACCATTCCCCCGAGTATCGTTATTCCAATCCCCTCCCAATGGCCAAGTTCCCTTCATGATGTAACACTCGTCTTTTTTAATGATCCGGCCGGTCGTGTCTTCTCCTGAATTGCAAGAGCATTCTTAGAGGCATGCTGGGTCTGCTACTAGACTTGGAGAGGTTGCATATTTCATGGGGTTCGCAGGGGCCTACCTAGGGAGATGGAAACGATGATCAAAACCAAGTCTTGTCACGTTCATCGTGAAGTGTACTGTGTTTGTCCATATTATTATTTCTACGCTATATCTGGTCAACGAGACAAGAATAGATCAACCAGAAGCTTGAGTTTATGAAAAATTCCTTCCACCTTTTTCATCAATTGTATATAATCAGTACTTTGCACGAGCTTATCATAAAAGGGTTGAGAATTTAAAATAAAAAGTCTGCATATTGCTAAAAAAAAATTTACAACATAAAACCTTGCCAAAAATATTTACATGGCATCAAATTCATCAAAATACTTTTGTCATATGCACTGAATAATTTATATTGTGGATCATGAACTGTTCATAATACTTCAAGGTGGGAACATACATCCTTTTTTATTTCTTGCAGTGTAACTTTTGTGTATTTTTTACACTTTAAATAGTATTTTTGTGTCGTTTGCACGGTGGCTTTTTTTTCACTGTTGCATTGGCTTCAAGGACTTTCCATAGGACTTTAAAACCTTTTCTCCATCAAGATCTTTCTGCAATCAAGCGAGGAATCGGTGGAACGGCAACAAGAGCCCTGATGACATGACAGTAACTTCTACTCACGGAACTTTCAATTTTTAATGAGGAAATAATAGACTAGCGGAGCCAGCATGCGGGGTATCACTCAAGAATATCTCAACAAACGTGCCGCCAGCACCCTGGAGCAAACGTCCCATGAGTAACACGTCCCACTGAAGGAAGATCGTGTGTTATTTTTTTTTTGGGGGGGGGGGGGTTTGAAGTACAACTGTCTGACTTTTCAAGGAAAGAATATTTGAAAAATTTCTGATAGACAAATGGGGCAGGGGAGGGGGTGTACATCGAACAATACAACCCACCTAAAATCTGAATGAATTAAACCTCATCCAACATTTTCCATTGAAAAAAATCTCAAGCAATGTTTGACTCTCCAAGACATGTGTCACACTGAAGAGATTTCCAACAATATTGTGTTTGCTGATTTGTTTGAAGAGGAAAGTCTCATCAACTTCCTCTCTTTCTCCCTCTGGTGGAAGTGGAGGTACAAAACATTATCTGGAAAATCAGAGAGTGCCATGGGGGAAATCTCAAAAAAACATATTTGTACTCATCACCCATCGATACCAAAAAAAATTGGAATAACATGACCGGAGAGGACCAAGATAAACACTGACAATCCCAAGAGATATATTGCCTGAGGAATGAAGTGTCCAGGAGACACCTCAGAGCTACTGGAAAAAAAAACACCTGAAAATATTTCATCATGTGAAAACTGTCTGACACATAAGGTCAACGCACAACTTGCAGACTTTCAAAAGTTACGATTTTTTTCCCCCTTCTCTTTTTCACACGACTGCGACACGTGCACTTATGAAATGCATTGACTCGTGATGCCGTTTGTGCTGGCTTCAGTCTCGGAGGACAATTTTGATCCAAATGCTACGCAGGGGTCCGTGAATATTGATTGATCATGTGACAACTTGACACCTTCTTCTGTACAGTGCCCCCTCAGAAAGCGACGATAACGATGCGTGCTATTCATTAACCTCAATTCCAAATTCAAGCCTAGATACGGAGAAACACCTCGGTCGAATAAAGCTTTTCTGCCCTGCTCAAGTCAGGTCCATTCTATTTACTCCAATTCCAGACTTAATTTTTCCTCCTGGAAATTTCAACTTTTTTTTTTAGTCAATCAAGAGTGACTTATTGAAATAAACACACTGGTGAATGATGTGACTTCCCCCCCCCCCTCACCCCCCTCCCAAAAGGCAAATATGAACAGCCATAAAACACATCACTAAAAACAAAAAGCGGACCAAGATATCATTCCGTTAGATATAGAGCCAATCATTGTTTAATGACAGTCATCTGCGTGTGTGATGAATTGGACCATTAACCGTCACTTTTCTGTCGCCCTTATTCTGATCTGCCTTTAAAATCTCTCAGCTCTCTAAGAGTGATTTACTGCCAATCAATGCAGTAAATTCTCTGTAATGCGAAACCAGAGCGTTTGCTTTACATGTAGGGCATTATATTAAAATATTCTAAATATTCACGTACAGCCCACAATTCTGTTCATATTTTTGACAGCAAGAACATGGACAACAAGGTTAGGGAAGTGGTGGGGTATTTGAAGGGCAGTGGGAGAAAGGGGTGAGGGGAAGGGAGACCGGGTAAAGGCTGGTGTGAACACAGAAGCCTTGAGGGTTATCTGACTGTTGCTGGAAGGGATAGCTCTGCAGGATACGAAGAGCTATTGCTTTGGTGATAATGAAAGATATCACTTGCTACTAACCTGCTTGAAGCCTCTGTACATCAGCTGTAGTTCTTTCTTGGTGAATTTTGTCGTCCTGCATAGCTTGTCGATGCCTTCGGGCTTGTATCGCACCGTCTGCATTTCCAAGTCTTCCAGGTCATTATCTGTCAAACAGAAGACAGCGCACATTTATGAAATTGCCCATCACCGAGACAGTTGGCGTTGACAGTTGGTGGCAGAAGTGGGATCGGCTGGACATCCTAAAACATCCAAGTCTTCATGATTATGATCTGAAGAAAAGACGTCAAGAGAATGACGTTGGTGGCAGCGTTGGGATTGAGCTGGCTACATCTTCATGCAAAAGCTACGTACATTGTGGCGCAACCTGCCACGTAATGCTTAAGAGAGTGGTTCAATTCCCGCCTAAGTCTCCTATGTTGTTTCGCTTTGGATATATAAAGCACAAGGTAGTTTGATCACACGATGGCGAGATCGCCATGACTTTTTATGTTTCATGACCATACTCACATTTTTTGGATATGAGAGAACCCATTTTCGTGAAGCACAGGTGTGAACCATTTGATTCGATTCGAAGATACGAGACCACACTGTACACCACAGTATGACCAATAACAAATAACAAAGCTAGAATGAATTGAACACAGGCCTTGTTCCCGATTGCTTCCTGAAGGCAAACTGAGCTAAAAGTGGTGGAGATTTGATTTTTGATCGCTGTTTACAGCAGTCGATGACAAAGGCAAAATCACAATGGACCACGGTTGGTCAAGTCACCTTACAATAGACTGGAGCGTAAAAGGCTCAGGTCAGTACAGTGTTTAGCCGTCCTCCAAAAATGCATTTATAAGGTTCTTTGAACCATGATGAGTTTAACATAGAGAAGTAACTGTGACAAATCCATCAGTAGGCCTACACAACGATAGTAGTGTGACCAAAATAAATCCAGCCTGCTATTGTTAAGTTGTTGACATCACCAACGCGAGCACAACCAAAAGAAAAGCTTGCTAGCATGACCAGGTATGCAGTGTTCATAAACTCAACACAATCAGTCACCTAAACAGATCCATACACATTTCACAAATCATATTACACCCACTCTGTTTCATAATGTACGATTGCTCAAAGTATCTGAGAGATAAAGGTGGAGATTCATGGATTGTTTGATTTTAAACTAATCTGATGATTACATCCGTTTGCCAGATAAAGAACTTTGAAAACATCTGAATAGAAACAGTTATGACTGCACCATTTTTTTATTTCATTTTTTTCTGGGTGAGGACTTAAAGTGAGTTAATCCCCCCCCCCCATCCAGATTCAAACCCCACCCCAGCAAAAGGCCTCATCATGCACGCTCAATGTAACATGATCAAAAGAGCAAGAATGATGTTACAATTGGAAGTATGAATCATCTACAAAACTGCTCATGAGACCATTACTCGGATCATGCAATCTTGTCGGAAAAAGGGGACGATGTAACTGGGTTACCGACACACCATCGGTAACCAATAGCTCGTCCGAGCCTTACAGCGAGCTCATGGCAATTACACAGCCCCAATTACAGTTAATAATTCACCGGCCCCCCCGCTGTATAAGCAAAAAACTCAGCTCAGCGATTGCACTCCGTGTAGAATCACAATAAAGCTTCTTTTGCGGCAGAAAACTGCTAACATTTATTTTCCGTTCACGGCGGCGGCTCTGCAGATTTGCCATTTGCTGCGGCCGTTTCTGTAAACCATTAGTTTCTTTTTCCCTCGTCCGGCTTCTTTCAGACTTTGCTCTCTCTCACTCGGAAAAATTGCCACCCAAGACATGAGCTCCCGATGTGACGGGGCAAGTGGTGCCAACGTTTCGATTCGGTGATAGATTTTCTCCGTTTTTGAAATTGGACAATTAAATTACGCAATTGAAATGGGCTCCACTTGATCACACTGAACATAAGTGAATTTTCTCATTCACTTAACTAGCCACTTTAATGGAAAGACTACATCAACCACGAGTTCGTTGAGAGTGAACGTGCCTAAAACACATACATAGAACTTCAACTGTGTTTCTTTAGGGAGAGGAGACTTGTTTTCTACAGTTTGCAAATTTTCTGGTTTGAAGCTTTCAAAACAACTTAAACAAATCCTTCAACCACCACCGAAAAAGGCTCTTCAAATTCACCAGAAAAAATCTTTTCTAATTTTTTTACTTTTTCAAGAATTGACTAACAATTTCAAGACCAGTCAAGTCTTTGCAAGCTTTAAAAAAAAAATTCTTTCAAAGTTTTGGGCATTGATTTACACTCAGCAACTTTGTCTTATGTTTACTTCAAGTGACCTCTTTTGGAAAAGTTAACTTAAAGGGACAAACTGGCTTCACATTTCTTAAATTGACCAAATCTTCTCGGAATCTGTGGATTTTTAAAAACGTCTTTCCTTTGATTCAAGTGCCTCAATTTCGACCTCAAAATGAATAAAAATCCCACTGGCCCGGATTGCTTTCAGCACATAAACTCAAAGACAACAAACATTTCTTTTAATGATAGTGCTGTCAAACTCAATTTTTTTTTTTTTTTAAACCTGGTGCCAGCACTTCTGCAAAACGACAATACTGACAACTGTGATGATGGACAATCAATAATATTATTACCCGCTGACATTTATACCCTAAAGCAAAATCCTTGCTGTTAAGAGCAGACTGTAGACAAGGTTCAGAGAACTTCAAGCATTTCATCATTATCGTCACAGCTGCGTCTTTCAAACTCATTCCTTTGCGTACTCATTACGAGCTTTTAAGGTAGTAAATGTGCGGGTTGTGACTGCAGGGCGCATTAACTTTTATGGCCTTGGATTGCATATTTTAAAGGCGAGAAAATTCAATCAACTTTACAGACTACGAAGAAATAAATGATGAAAATGGGGGGGGGGGGGGGGAAGGATCAACAAAACGAAACAAACTTACTGTCATGGGTTCTCTTAAACGAAGTGAACCACATTATAAATTCACACAAATTCACACCAAATAAAAAATATCATTTAAAAGAATTTCTTTCATTCAGTCATACATTAGAATTGTCACAAGAGAGGTCAAATAACACAGCTAATACCGTAATGTCTTTTCAGTGACTCGTTTGAAACACAGATCAATTTGTCTTAAGAGCAAAACTGTCCCTCTTTGAAAGATCGACATCGTCAAGAACAAACGCTTCATTAGCATTGATTAATGAATAAACAGAGTTTTGGCCCGAGTTGCTAATTACCCACTAAATATGCTGGGAACCAGTCTCATACATTATACACCTACAATTGGCTGGTACCATACTTCTGTTCAGCAAAACTGAGTAAAGTAGTGAAATCGCAATGATTTTCTCTGTACAGTAAAAGGTTGTTTTGATGGATTTACCCGAAGAGATATTTTCGGCGCCATGAATATTGCACGCAGGTTTTACGTAGAACTTGTACCGACAGTGAATCTCTGCGGAGACACTACTCATGCCAGTATGGTAAACACTACCTGTCACGATTGGGGGGGGGGGGGGACAGACACTGTCACACAAGTCAAGTGTCTGATGCACAAACAAGGGGAACCCACAGGGAATGCGAATAGGCAGAGGAGGAACAAAAAATCGTTGATGGATCACGAGATGCGATTGATTTACACAGCTCCTGTGCATGTCTTGTTGAAGGAATATATCACTAGGTCAACAGATTTGCTGGAATAAAGCCCAACGATCAACTTTTACGATTCAAATTTTTCTGTGTTTTAGACAGAGCATGACTTGATTTATCACATCTTTGGCCAAACAAAACACCATTTACAGAAACTTTCTTAAATTCTAATCTCTTATTTCAAAAATTATGTTTAAAGGTTTCATTCCTTTTTCCCAGTGTAACTTCGGTTCAAAATTTAAAATAAATCAGTTAAATTAAAACCCTCCCTTTCTGGCTGACAAATTCAGCTATGCCATCACAGCAGTCAAAATCAATCAAGTGACTGTTTTGAACAGTTAAGAATTCCCTTGTTAATTTGATACAGCCATGCTTTGACTGGAGGTGATTGATATGCCAGCTGTACCTACCAGTTACCTCGCTTGTCTGTTGACAGGGTTTGACTAGTCACACAGTTTTTTACATGAATGTGATCGTTGTTTTTTTACTAGCATCTGCTAAATTTTGATACCACAAAATTCATGCATCAGCCTAGTGTGCTTGTTTAACGATCACTCTTTCACCCCCCAAAAAACCAGTTGACATTTATCAATGTATTCATAAATGTCAACTGAGGAAATTATAATTCCAAATCACATAATGAATGTTTACCAGGAACAAAAAAGCATATAATCATCACTTCAAAGAAGAAAGAACGAAGGGTAAGTGACATTTGAAGAATCTAAATTCAAGAGGAAAAAAAGATATGATCAAAATCAGAAATTTAAACTCAAGATTTGCAGTCCATTTGTGTTTGATTCCTTATTCTTCATCTGCTTACATGTACATATGATTGGTGATTCATGTTTCTACCAGATTTTATGCAATTTTGCATTCTTCCATTGTCAACAAAATGCTTCCTTTGTTTTTCAAATTGTACAATTTTAATTAATCTCATAATATCTTGCACGCATTATTTACTATTTGACTCTGAAGCCCTTTTTACAGAACTGTATTTTTTCTGATGTCAAGTTCTCTAAACATCAAGTTGTGTACATGTTCATTTGTAACACACCATCAGCATATCAAAACCTTCATTTGTAACATTTTTACTCTGCAATCACTTTGCAGGAGAATTTGACAAAACGCTCCAGCAAGCATCGTTCGATAAAGTCTCACCAGAACAGAAGTGATGCGTTCATGGTTGTACGACAAAATCAGGTTTAGTTAAACCAAGCGAACGCAAAAAAAACCCAAGGTTAGCACGTAGTCGCATCCCTGCGGACATGATAAATGCGTGTTTTCTGTCATAAGCTGGCTATGGGAGCTTGAGCATCAAGCAAGCGAGCAGTCTGTAATCTTGAAAAGAGGACACAACATGCCAACTCTTGCGCAGAAACGCAGATATTTATAGAAGAATCAAGAAGTGAACGGAAGCATACATACATCTCACGCTATCACTGTTTTTTATCGACATGCTGTTATCCACTGCTCACAAGAACCAAGGTTGCATTGTGATATTATTAAATCTGATTTCAGTTTAATTTTGTTTCCTATTGCTTACTATAGTGATGGGCGAATGACAATTGAAATTAAATTTCACGACTGTGTTGTAGTGTAGCCATGAATATCTGACAAAAATGTAGCAAATATCGTTTGAAGGTGTGAGGTAGAAACCCAAGAATCATGTAATAGATGGGTCAGAGGGAATCCCAAGCAATTAAGTCAGAACTAACAAATCCAAGGCATGAAGTGTACTGGGCAGGAATCGAACCTGGATCGCCCAAAGTTGAAAAAACCAACTCAAATTCTCAACCTCTTTCTACAAATCTTGATCTAAGATATACTTTTAAATTCCAAACTCCTTCAACCAATTTCTCCTCAAGGAATCCTCCTCAAGATTCCATCATGAGTAATTAGGGCATCTTGCTTGAGTTTCTGGCCATAAATCCTCCTTCAGCCACCATCAATTGGATTTACTTCTCCCTAATCTGGCCCTTAACCGGCCCATAAGATGCTGATACATGCCCGTCTGATGAAACCAGAGCAAAGTCGGAGGGACAGTTATATGACTTTCAGGACAGGCAGATGGTCGTTGAGTTATGGACCATCCTCTTTATTTTTCCCGAGTTCGTAAATCTGAGACAGTGGGTGTGAGCTAAGGTAGATTAAACTGGTTTTTATTAGGCAGTGTTACTCACTGCAATAGACAGGGCTATCCACAGTTTGCTTGCATTTTGGTGTCTTTTTTTTCCCTTGCCAATAAAGTTGAAATAATCATTTCTGAGTGAATGCATCCATAAAATTGTGCTTGTGTCATTTCCAGTTGACCTCTTTTTTTTGGGGGGGGGGGTGCAAAAATAAATTTTAAATATGTTTCTGAATGGCTGGT